CTCTGTGCACAGCCAAATTCAGGTAACCTAGGGCTTTCCACCATAAGAATATGGATTCGCTTTCATTCATTTATCACCATTCAAAAAATGCCTGGATGACATCGGATATTTTCGAGCAATGGTTTAAGAAATATTTTGTACCAGCTGTCCGGAGCCACCTACGCAGACAAAAGCTGGAGCCAAAGGCATTGCTCCTCCTTGACAACTGTCCTGCCCACCCCCCAGTTGAGACCTTAACCAGCAAAGACGGGAAGATAAAGGTGAGCTACCTTCCTAAGAACACGACGTCCAAAATACAGCCTCTTGATCAAGGCATTATAGCCACATTTAAGATGAACTATCGTAAAGCCTTAGTAAAGAAAATTGTTGAGGACAACAGTAGCATAACGGATGTAATCAAGAAATTGAATTTGCTGGATGTATTTAACTTAGGTGAGACAGCCTGGCTAGGAATCACTCCGTCAATGATAGAGAAATGTTGGCATCGTGGTCTCAAAAATGCTTTTGTCACTGAAAGCAACGACAACCAAGATGAGGAAGAAGATGAAGATGAGAACAACTTGGAAGGTTTTACGGAAGAAGAGGCCATGGAGGCAGAACGAGTCTACAGGGAACTTATAGCTCAAAGTGGGATAGCTGATGTTCAAGAGTGGATAGAGGTGGATGCTATGTGTCCAACCTATGAATGACTTACAGATGTAGATATAATTCATAATGTTGCCCCTCAACCACCTGGTGCCTCAGAAAATGGATAACCCTGAGGATGGTGACGAAGAACCCTCGGAGCCACCACCCAAAGCTGCTGATGAGGTTGTAGGGTTAGAGATTGGTCTTAAGTGGCTAGAAAGCTAGGATGTGGATAGACTGCAAATACTGCAGTTACAATCCATAACTGACCTGGCAAAGAAGAAGGCTCACAGTAGCACGAAGCAACAAAGTATAACAAGTTTTTTTAAAAATTAAAAAAATGCTAAGGGGTGCATCTTAAATAAGAAAGCATCTTGTACCCCCCAAAAAGGTATTTACTACTTTATCAATGTCTCCAAAACTTGATTACTTTACTTTTTAGCTTCATTTTAACCTTTTCTATAAGAAAAAACTCCCATCTCCAAAATGTTTTCAAACAATTTAATAGTTAACAACTCATATTATTTAACAATCTACTTATAACATAAGGTAGTTGGCTAAGAGACAAAGTGGCCTATGCTCCTATTTGCTAAAATACCAAAATCCTTTTTTACAACTATTTGTAAGGATGTGTAATTAAAAGCATTTTCTGATATTTTATGTGAATTTTGCATTTTCCGAAGCATTACATGCAGACCAAACGATTGATGTATGATGAAACCTAGCCCACATGGTTGCATTTAGCAGTGTTTAGTACCTGTGTTGTTAATACACTGTATCTTGTAAGTAAGCTTATAAAATAATTGTTGTAATTAAAGAAAGGAGATACAGTTTAACCATTGTAAAACAGATTTATTTACTGCATACACATACATTGTTAGTTCTAACAAAAATGATTTGCTGACTATTAATAACGGAAATGTGTGAGGCCAAAGCAAGTTCGATATAACGCAGTTTCATCTATAACGCGGTAAGATTTTTTGGCTCCCGAGGACCGCGTTATATTGGGGTAGACGTGTACTTTCACTTTTTAGCAGTTTTAGCAGTAGAGGTAGCCATTATTTTCAGGAGAAAGTATGCACCTGCATATCTGACTGTTAAATTAAAAGTTACTTTTCCTCCCCCAATCTCAGTGTTTTCATTCGTCTGCGGTTTAATGCAACTCTTCAGCTGCTGAACAATCAAGCCCTCGAATGTTATCTCAGTCCCAGGGCTCGCCTTAGGGAAAATGGCACCCTTGGCCAACTTCTATTCTGCTGCCCTTTCTTTGGAGGTGGAACGGAGCTGAAGACAGAGCAGGGTTGGCAGAGGAGATGGGCTGGAGGGACTTGAGGCTGAGAGCCCCAGGCATGGCCGGGCTCTGGGCTTGTAACTCCTACATAATCACCTTGTGACTCCCAGTTTGGAAACCACTGGTTCAAGATGACAAGCTGGCTGCAAGAAGCTGTCAGCATAGGCACTGACTTCCTCTTTATTTGGGGGGTACTCAACTCCCCCCTCTGCCCCAGGCCCATCTCCACTCCACCCCTTCCTCCAAGCCCCCACCCCGCTAATTAGCACCTGCTATTTTTTTTTCATGGGTGCTCCAGCCCTGGCCAAACTGAGGGGTGCACAGGAGAAGATAGGTTCCGGGGCACAGAGTGATGGGCCCGGCCCAGGGGCACCATTTCAGATTTTGATATGAAGAGGAAACTTTAACCATGATTCCAGGGACTACTTAGGCAGCTGAAAACTCTAGGTTTTTTTTTTTTGCAGATAATAATTTAGAAATTAGTTGACAGGAGCACTGTATCTAATTCCTATATAAAGAAAGAAATTTAAATAAATATTAGACCCACTCAGCTCTAATACTAACATATTCTGATATCTTGTGGCAAGTCACTTAAGGGACACTGGTTAGGTTTAAAATTTTAATGTATATTCTTACGTTGCTACTAACTCTTCAATACAACAATTGAAACAATGTTAGGAAATCTATATTACTTTCTATCATTTAGGCTAATTAATTTTTGCAGTTTTTCCAAGCTTGGAATAAAGAAGAACAGGAGTACTTGTGGCACCTTAGAGACTAACAAATTTATTAGAGCATAAGCTTTCGTGGACTACAGAGCATATTCTTTCGCATATGCATCCGAAGAAGTGGGCTGTAGTCCACGAAAGCTTATGCTCTAATAAATTTGTTAGTCTCTAAGGTGCCACAAGTACTCCTGTTCTTCTTTTTGCGGATACAGACTAACACGGCTGCTACTCTGAAGCTTGGAATAGATCATCTAATGTTTGGAAATATCCTACGAGGTCAAAGCCCTGTGAGTTTATACTGCACCTGCCTGGAGTTTAGGGGTGTTACTAAACTAAAAATAATAGACTAGAAATGGACTTTAAACAGGAGTGAAACTGACATTTTCAAACCACTTTATAGTATTGCCAACCCCAAATGTTCAACAATCAAGCATCAGAATCACCAAAAATCACAATCTTGGCTGAAAAAAATCACAAGATTATGTAAAATAATAGATTTGGTGTTCTTTTTATTTGCCTTCTGCTTTTTGAGCCTTTCGGGTGCACTGGGGTCACATTTTGAAGCTTTCTCCACCACCCCGAGGACTAGAAACTTTTTCTTTAAGAATAAAGGCTAAAATCATCACATATCCACTTGACTGCAGGAGCTGTGGCTTTAAGGAAAACAGTAATTATCATGAGACTCATGACAAAATCATGAGAGTTGGCAACACTGCTTCCACTTCTGTTTAAAGGCTAGTTACTTTCCAGAAGGCTCTTAAACACAACACTACAGTAATTGAGTTTCAGTTCTCACAGGAGAATATTTAAAACAATGGGAAAATTCCACATTTTAGGTTGAGAAAAAAATTTAGTCTTCTGAGGTATATCAAGGCCACAGCAGGGAGGAAAGGAAAATAAACAGGGATAGGAGCTCTGGGCAGCTCTTCCTCTTGAAAGAAAGTTGGAGAGTCAAATCTTCCAGTCCCTAATAAGATAAAACTTCTATTGCCATCAGTGCCTCCACTCATAAATATTAACATGTGCTCAATAGCTATACTTAAATATCAGAGCCATTTTATCCGAAGGTACACATTGTATACACATTGGCCCAGAGACTACATTTTCTGCATATTCTGAACAGTGCTGAGCACACAGATGGTGCTTAGTGAATGATACAAATCTTGACAATAATCGTTGACTTTATGGACTTGGGGGATGCAATTTCTGTTCTTTATTCTGGAATTGGCTTGGATATAGCTAAAACCCTAAGAATTTGAGGGATAAACACATCTGATACTCAGACGACATTTTCTCATTCCTTCCTTTTCTCAAACACAGAACAAAAAAATCACAACACAAAATGGTTTTCAGTTAAAATGTAAAATTGCATAGCAGCCATTGCTATAAAACTTAGCATGGGGCAGAACTTGCCACCCCTTGGGGGTTAAATGATCTCCTCTCATCTGACTGTCATACTCTCTTTATCCTTCCTGACCGCTGTGTTGCTTTTCACGCAGTCAACCATGACATCCTTCCCAACAGCCTGGGACCATTTGATGGAGTCTCAGAGAACTGGCCTTCTTGACTTTGCTCCCATCTATCAGAATCCTCTCTTTTTGCAGCATTCAGCAGAAGGAAAGGCTGGTCCAGCAGATAAGGTGTGAAACTCTGGGGGAAGGAGCCTGCCCCTGGCCCTGCAGCTGCCCTGCCTTGAAGGCTAACTGCAGTGGCAGGGAGCAGCAACTTGGGTTTACTGCTTGCCCTGAGTACAATCTGTGCAGCAAGGTGCTGTCTTGGAACGGTTCAGGCCTTTCCCCAGGAGAACAGCCCCACAAGCCCAGGAGCCCAACCCCTGGCTGGCACCAGGGAAGGCACAGGGCTTGTGGTTCGAGCTAGCTCCTGCCCACCTGGCACAATACTAACCCTCTATCTGATACACAGCTGCCTGCTGACTCTGCCCCTTTCCTGGGCTCCCCGGGCCAAGCACAGTCTGTGCGGGAAGCCACTGCCTCGTGCTGGGACCACAGGCCCTTCCCCCGCCCCTTTCCTGTGCTCCGCCTGGCCGGCACAAAGCACCGCCCCCTCTTAGCGTGACCACGCCCCACCTCGCCTTCCTCGGGCCGGCCCCTCCCACTACTCCCTCCTCTGCGCATTCTCTCCCTCTGCGCAGCCACGCCCCAAGCAGTCTAGCTCCACCCATTCCACAGCCCCGCCCCTCACGCTTTCCTCCTCCCCCGCCTATTCTCGAAGACCTTGCTTATACGCGTGCGCAGTAGAGACTACTCTCTCTCCGGCCTCACCCCGCCCACAGCACCGTGGGTTCTGATTGGGCCGGTCTACGTTGCCCTCATAGCCAATAGGAAAGCCCCATTCCTACCCCGCCTCTTTACAACGTGCTGTTGCTGTCACACCTGCTTCCTGAGTCCTGACCCTAGTGGAGATGGCGGCGGCCGGGCTCGGGCTGTGTCGGCTAGCGGTGCTCGCCTCCGGACCGGGGCCGCTGCGGGCCGGCGTGTGGGGCCGGCTGCCCCCCTTGGCGGCCGGGTCGCGGCGACACGCGGCGCATTTCACGTTCCAGCCTGACGCGGAGCCCAGCGCGCACGGTGAGAGGGGGGGCGCGCCGGGCTGAGCTCCCCCCGTACCCTCAGCAGCCTGGCCCTGCCCTGGAGAGGAGCTGCCCGGCGCGGGACTGGCGGAGGGCATCGGGCTCCCTGCTGAGCGCCTGCTGCTCTGGGTCTGCTTGTCCCGAGGGGTCCCAGGCGCTAAGGGGAGCCTCCCACCCCTCCCCGCCCGCCGGCCGTACTGTCAGCGCCCGCTGCGGTTGGGGCTGGGGAAAAGGGCGCTGGGTTCCCCGGGCGTGTCCCCACCGCCAGTCAGACCCACCTGGGGCAGCTGTTAAACGGCGCCTGGCAGCGCCCCAAGCAGGCAGCGCGGAGCGAGCGTGTTGTCCCCGCAGAACCACGAGCCCGCTCCCCGAGCGCCCTGACAATCATGAGACTTTCCTGACAAACAACAAACGCCAGTTCTTGGCCGCCAGCCTTCTGGGGTCGGAGCCTCTGGAGTGGCTGACGCCACCTGGTCAGGCCCTCTTCAGTTAGGGTGGGAACTGCCTTTCTGTTAAGGGGGGAAGGGGCTGAGTGTCCCGTGTCCCCCACCCATCCCTCCTTTCTAGCCGCTGGGCTAGTTCCGAGGCTTGTGACAAAATTACACGAGCTGGAAGAGTAACTCACCTGAAATGACCTAAAGTTGAAGGCAGGCGGCATGATTCAATTTTTGGCCAGCATCTGGAGCTGGTCACCAGATAGAAAAGCACTAACAGCTGTCCGTTGCCATTTTTGGGTGAAAACTTGTTTTCACTCGGGCTCAGGAAAGGTAGATGCGTGACATAATTGCATTTTAACTTCAGAAGCCAATACTACTGTAAAGAAGGAAAAAAATTCACTTAAAAGGTGCAGAGAAGATATTTTCTGTTGAACAGAGTAATGTGAGAGTCCAGTGGAGAAGAGCTCCATTATCTTTTGTTGGGGGCGGAATAGCTCAGTGGTTTGAGCATTGGCCCACTAAACCCAGGGTTGAGTTCAATCCTTGAGGGGGCCACTTAGGGATCTTGGGCAAAAATCTGTCTAGGGATTGGTACTGCTTTGAGCAGGGGTTTGGACTAGATGACTTCCTGAGGTCCCTTCCAACCCCGATATTCTATGGTCTGCTGTAAATAGGCTTGTCAGAATTTGATTTTTTTTTTGTAGTTTTGATTAATAGTGATTTTTATTTTTGCCAACTTTTATTGTTACAGTTATGGGAAGTTAGAGGTTGGTGGTGGGGTTACTGTTGTGGCAGGGGTGACAGTGGGGGTGTAGTGGACTTTCTGTTAGGG